CCCCAGGCTGTGGTTCATGAGACGGAGGGATTATTTGGATATATCTACTGTGACTTCTTCCAGCGGCAGAATAAACCTCATCAGGTGTGAAAACGTTATCATGTTTAAATCTTCTAGTTAGTTTCTCCTTTGAAATAAGGGCTCATAAAATGTACAGTAGAAAAAATACTCAAAACTGTAATAATTGTATTACAGTTTTGAGTATGTATTTATTCCACGCATGGCAGTTATTTTAAAACATGTACACTTTACTGGTTGTTGTTTTTATAGCGCATGGTGGAAAGGAGCATGGAGAATCTTATTTGACCTGCCCCTTCTTGCAAAACAATAATAAAATAAATACAAATGAAATAACCATTAAAAAGTCAAATAAAAGCCATATTCTTTAAGTCACAGTTGCTTACAAATACTGAAACATAAAACCAGAACACAATCACAAGTCAACTTCATACTGTGTAATTACATATATCATCTAATAATATATACATATGTTGATTCAAAACAAAGTAAAACATAAATCCAGAATCAGAATACCTTGATTCGTCCCACATAGGGGACATTCACGTTGTTACAGCAAAAGACTAGACTATTAGATAAAGGGCATGGAGGAGTCTTCCACGGCCCCATCTCACCTTCATCCCCCTCCTCCTCCTCCTCTCTCTGCAGGACTGTCACTTCACTATCCGAGGGGGCCGCTGGCTCCAGGAGACGGGTCAGTACCAGCTGCCGGTGGTGGTTCTGATGCTGAGTCTGCCCCATCCCACCCAGAGGGCCCCCACCCTGCTGACCCCTGGCATGATGGAGAACCTCTTCCACGAGATGGGCCACGCCATGCACTCCATGCTGGGACGCACCCGCTACCAGCATGTGACAGGTGGGGAGGGGTCACTCATAGTTTATATTAAGAGAGATAAGATAGAACTTTATTGATCCCAATTAGGGAAGTGTTTGTGTTGCAGCAGCAGAAACAGACAAGGCATTGTACAATAACAATTAAAAGACAAGAAATAAACAAGAAAGTAGAAAATATACATGTTGAATTTACAAGTTAACAAGATATAAAGCAAGGTGTTATACATAAGTATGTGACCGATGGAATATTAAAGTGAATATATACATGTAAAATGTACAGTCTAATTGTATTCCAAGAGAAACTATGGAGCTACACAAGCAACTTCAACAAACTCCTACTGTATACATTTGTACTGTTCTAACATATTCATATTCATCCATTTAGTGTCTACTACTTTTATTTTTTATATATATATATATTTACATGATTACATTTATTTATATATTTGTATTCTTTGGCATGTTGGGAAACAGAAATGTGTTCTCTCTGTCTGTAACACACACACACACACACGCACACACACACACACACACACACACACACACACACACACACACACATACACATACACATACACATACACATACACACATACACACATACACACACACACACACACCAATAAAGTTGACTTGATTTATATTTACACAGAAATTAAGACATTATTATTGATTATAAAGTATTTTGTATTGTTCACACGTTTCATTCATTGATGGATATACTGTGTGTGTGTTCTGACATCTGAGCCCTGACGTCTCTCCTCCAGGAACCAGATGTGCGACTGATTTTGCTGAAGTCCCGTCCATCCTCATGGAGTACTTCGCCTCCGACTACAGAGTCGTCAGCCAGTTTGCACGACATTATGAAACTGGACAGGTAACCATAAACCCATAAACCCATAAACCCAACCATAAACGAATGAGTTAGGATTTGACCACCTTCCTGTCCCCTGGTCTGGAGGTCAAGGTTTTTTTTAACGTGTTACTGGTTGTCGGACACAAAATCTGTATCGTTACCCTGAAATAAGTCACCCCACTGGTGAATTTAAAAACAGTGGTTGCTAACAAGTGTCTAAATGAGACGACTAAACGTCTTTTAGCTTAGCGCTGGTGACGTGAAGTCATGTGACCGAGCTGTAATTCCTTTATAGCCTAACGACAGCTTTTCACTTCAGAAATCATAAAGTGGTGTTAGTATGTGGAGATTGTCCTGCTGAACAAAACGTGTCAGTATCATAAACATTTGTTTGCCACAGAGATTTGATTCTGCTATAAACCCAATGAAAGAAATCCCATTGAACCAACGAGATGCTTCCTTAAAGATCGGCTTACAATAATACGTCATCATCACTGCACCGCTCTATAAAGTTTAAAGGTTTTTAGAGTGATATCGTCCAATACATTACAAATATAATGATATCAACAGCTTCATTTGCCAGCTGATTTGTATTCCATATTTTATTCCTCCATTTCATTCCATTGCAATGTAAATACTTGTATATTTTACTATATGTCAAAGAATAGATTTCAAAATACTGCTGCTGTTTATAAAGCACTGAATGGTTTAGGCCCAAAATACATTTCTGACCTCCTGCTAAATGATGAACCATCCAGATTTCTCAGGTCTTCAGTGACTGGTCAGCTTTCTGTCCCCAGAGTCAGAACTAAACATGGAGAAGCAGCGTACAGTTATTATCCTCCAAATATCTGGAACAAACTCCCAGAAACCTGCAGGTCCGCTGCAACTCTTACTACTTTTAAATCCAGGCTGAAGACTTTTCTTTTTGCCGCTGCTTTTAATTGAACTATTCACATCTTAAACTGCACTTTAACTTTTATCCATGTATTTTTTCTTTTAATGTTTATTTTATAATCTTTTCTTTTTAATGACTGATTTTAAATGCCATTTTCTGAATGTGTTTCATTTTTGTAAAGCACTTTGAATTGCCTTGTGTTGAAAGGTGCTATATAAATAAACTTGCCTTGCCTATTTATTTTTTATTAATTTGAATATATTTCCTGTTCTTTACCTGTGTTTTTATTCTTGTTTGTATGCACCACGACACCAAGTCAAATTCCTCGTACGCGTAAACCTACCTGGTAATAAACCTGTTTCTGATTCTGATCTGTCGTTTTCTAAAAAGCCAGACCAGTACGAGATGAGAATGATGTGTTTTTTTATTCTGCCTTTCAGCCTCTGCCTAAGAGTATGGTGGCTCGTCTGTGTGAGTCTAAGAAGGTGTGCGGCGCTGCAGACACTCAGCTCCAGGTACAATCACACAACCTCACACACCTTCACCTTCACAGATATCTAAAAGTTTGTTTCACTTTTCAGAAAGAGTTTTGAACAATGTTTGTTGCTTAGCAATAGGGTATTTTATTCTGCTGTACAATACTTAATTACACATTCAGTTTTTTCTCATTCAGTTCTCCATTAACTTCTAACTGCGTGTTGTTTGGCTTTTGTTAATTGTATCTGCGTTCATGAAACCTGTCTTTTTCAGATATTTTTACATAACATTTTTAAACATCATATTAAATGTTTTGTATGATTTTAACTGTTAATTATTATAAATATTATTATTATCAGCACTACTATTGTTTTTTATATAGGTTTTTTAATTATTTATATTTATTTATTTCGACTTTTAAGCTGGTTATTTTAACAGGAATAACACTTCTTCAAAATGTGTAAACATAGGAAGTTCAATGTCTAATTCTTTACCCCTAACTCTACCACTGCACTTCACATTATTAATATATTTTTGATGTTGTGTTTTTCTCCCTGGACAGATTTTCTATGCCGTCCTGGACCAGATCTACCACAGCCAGCCTCAGAACCGCTCCACCACAGAAATCCTGCAGGAGATGCAGAATAAATTCTACGGCCTTCCTTACACGCCCAATACGGTACAAACACGCCGTCTTCCTGCCATTTAACACTTTACTTCTTTTGAGTAGCTTGTCTCTTTTATACAGTGCCTTTTAGATCCATTACAGTCTTCAAGGTTTGATCATTTAGGGAACTTCTGCTCATGACTCTCCTTTCACTTCTCATTCAGATTACGTTATTGTCCATTAAATGTACTTTAAATGGAAAGATGTACGGTGGCCGACCGGTGCAAACGTGCTACAGCGGCACAAAACCTTTCCATTTGCATGTGTTGTGGTACACTTGTGTTTTTATATTTACATCTTTCTTGAAGCTCCAGGGCTTTCCCCCTAATTGAAGTGTTTGGGTCAGTTGTAGCACGTATAGTATGCATCTGTCGGCCACTGTACATTTTTCTTTGGCACCAGCAACTAAAACAACACTCCCTATACACAGCACCACATACAGTTCACACACAATACACTAAAAAAGAGACTTATGGCGCATTTCCACTGCAGCGGGTAGCCCCGTTTAAGCGTCCTCAAGCGGCCAGGCCAGTTTTTGGTGGCCTTTCCATATAGCGTAGCACCGGCTAGCGGGTACTTTTTCCCGGCCCCATAAAATCGTGGTTCTGTCAGGCCAGGGCCAGGGCTGAACTAGTGACGTCAACACTCTCGACTGCTGATTGGTCAGAGAGAATCGTCACAAGATTGTGCGCGAGATCATCCCTAGCGTCGCATATATATCTAGAAGCAAGCTTGCAGCATTTTTATACACAGCATTTTTGTAAAAAGCACACCGTGGTCGACCGAGGAGGTGACGACGTTCCTACATCTCATTGGCCAAAAAAAAGCCGATCGCCCCGCCTACACTGCGTTGCTACCCCAGGTCCTAAACTGTAATGGAAATGCGCCACGGCCTCGGACGGCCAGCGAGGCAGCCCGAGGCCTGAGCGAGGACGCTTAGGGACCCTTAAACGGGGCTACCCCGCTGCAGTGGAAATGTGCCATTAGTGGCAGTCGTAGTGCTAAGTAGATTTTTCTTCAACTGGTGTGTAGTCCATTCAAATATCCCAACAGAGCATGAAACACAGTAGTATAAACAATAGATACATTAGTATACACTAAAAATAGGGGTTTGTGTTAGTTGCAGTATGTCCTAAGAAGCATCCTTGAGGCTTGGTTAGGGTTCAAATAAGTCCAATCACAGACTGAGGAGGCCTCTTCCCTTTCTCTCTGCTTTTATATCTCTTACCCAGGCGCAGCAGTGGTTCAGGGATTAAAGCCCTTTTTTTTCTTCTTTTTTTTGCAGCCCTGCTAAAATAACAAAGTATTCTTTGAATGAGTTCTCCCCGGGGGAAATATTTGAAACTCTTCCTCCCGGTGCTTTAATAAAAAATGAAAAGCTCTCTCCCCACTTTTGCAGCTGTGGGCGACGGGCTGAGGCCTGGAGGGAGAATCAGACGCACACGGTCACACTTTAGCCAGGAATGGCCTTCATAGAGCATCTGGGCTGTAATTATGTGGGAATGCCATCAGGAATAGAGATTAAAGAACTTCTGTACACCCTCCTTAAACCCACTTTCTCCCACTCTTCTTCTTGTTTCCTGCTTTGTTGCTGCTTCTCTGGACATTTATGCCGTGTAGTTTCCCCCCAACTGTCGTTCCTCTTTAACTTCTCAAACCACACTGAAGCAGACTTCTCTCCTCAGCGTGCGCGGCAGGATTAGTTTCCTCGTTTGAACTCCACAGAAACGTCAGATGATTGCGGCGCTTAGGTTTCTGTAATTGGGTCAGAGCAAGTGAAAACAGATTTGTTTAGATCCTCCAACGACCCAATCCACTTTAACTTTTTTGTATATAAACTCGCGGCTCTGTGTCTCCCTCTCCTCTTCTTAGGCAACGTTTCCACCGCAAAGTGAACATTTGAGTGGCTAATAGGTTACGGAGAGCTGCAGATGATAAACATTGGGGTGATGCTGACATGTGTATAGTTTACAGAGCGGGGGCTATCGTTTCCCAGCAGAGAGAGGATCAGCTGTGAGTAACACAGACCACATGCTCGCCCTTGAGTCGAAGATAATATTTGGAAATAAACGGCAGAAAGCAAGATGTCCCTCTCGCCTTTGTTGACATTCCTTTAATCTGCGAGTCTTGGCTCGGCTCATCGGGACCATCTCTCTCTCTTCTTTAATGAGCACATGTAATCCCCACTCCCCATTGTAGAAATGTGGAAATGCATATTAACACCATGCATTCAGAATGAAAGGAAAGTCTTTAATCTCACTTAACCAGAGGAACAGAGTCAAAAGCATGTGCTGACTGTGTCTCCTTTTTATGTATGTATCAAAAGACACACCACCCTCTTCAAAAAGATGACATTAATCATTTGATGTGAGGCAAAGCGGTTGGAAACAAAGAGGATGTTGGACGTACGTCAGAGCGTGACACAAAAAGCCAGAGGAAACGGACTCAAAACCTCTTCAAATGAAAGTCTGGTTCTCCCATTAGATGATAATATAAGTAAGAGTGGAGGATGTGAAACTAAAAGTTCCTTTGCTTGAATTCATTTAGTTGTTATGCATCAGTTTATCAGTTTAAATGAACTCCTCTAAACTTCATGACACTGTGGTACTGCTGCGTTAAGCTGACAAAACAAACTGGGTCTGTTTTAGCTGGCTCGAGTTCTCTCCTCTCAGGAGAGCTGTTTACTCTTATTAAAGTCACCGCAGCCCGGAGGAGACTCATCAAGTCGACACTCGGGAGCTTAAGCTTTTTGAACGCTGTTGGAAAGAGGGGATGAGCTCTCAAACAGCTGTCAGAAAGTTAGTTCACTTTGACATCCAGCCACATCATTTTGAAGGGATTCATCCATAAGGGGAGTGTATGTGAAATAGAGCTTTTATGTTGACAGGTGGCTTTTAGTGATGCTGTTTTCAGATGAGTTGCAGTATTTTAATTTAAAGTGGACCTATCCTGCTATATTTGAAACATATATTGTAGGGCCATACCTATATAAAACATGTCTGTGAAGTTTTTTGCTTAAAATACCAAACAGTTCAACCATTTTAGCCATGCCTCATACTGCTCATACCCCTCTTTTGCAGCCCTGTTAGAGAAACGCAGATTTTGGG